AAGTTGTTTGGGTTTTTTTCATTTAAAAAAAGCGACATTAATTTCTTGATGACCTAATACATAAAATGCGTTTCTGTATGGCAAAAGTAAATTACATAATAGTAGAAAATGTAATTAAAGCATTTTTTTATGTTATAAAGTTTCAGACAAAAGTACAGGTAAGTGAAGCCTATTACATGTACCAAAATAAATCTCATTTCTTAAAAAAATAATTCTGTAATAAAAGTTGAAAAATGATGGTAAAAAATAAATTATATTTGTAGTAGTTTACTTTAGCAAAGGTTCTGTGTATTAATAAGTTAGGATATTCTTCAAACTTTTTATTTTTTTATAATTAGGGCAGAGGAAGTCAGTCTAATGCTCGTTACTGTTCATTCTGCGAGTTTGTTTGTCATACAGTTGAGGTATGGAAACATTTTCTATTAAGGTGTATCTTTTCTTATAAAATCTTCTACGTGCATGGGAAAAATTCTTGCATAAAGAGAAAAAATGTTTAACTTAAAAAAAAGAATGTTTTATAAAGAATTGCATTATGTGAGTGTATAGTTTAAGTTGAAAATAAAGAACAATCCAGTACTTCTGATATGGATGCATATAGGTTAAGATGTTAATGTAAACATACACTAGGTATGTATACATATTTTAATAACATGTAGCCATTTTTTCTGTTTTTAGAATATCAGTCCTTTGTTGTTTTTTATTCATTGGTTCATAAAGATCTTTATTTGGTTTGTCAGAATGGAACCATCTCTAGAGCTGGGCGATTAGTGTAATTTGATAATTGATTTGAATATTGAGCTCATTAATTGATTATATTCAACCAATTGATTATTCTCATTTGACACTAATCTTCCTCTTTTCAGCTTGTTTTTGAATTTTTTAAGACATTTCTGAAGTACCCTTCATTTAATTCTCTAGATTTGGTTTTAAGTCACTCTGATCAACCTTGTAACCATTCCATTACCATGAAACTATACATGCTATAACTCTTAATGCACTAAGTGTATCTTTTAGTAAACATTAAAAAGTTGTTGTACACAAAAAAATCTGATTTTTTAATAAAGCATATATCCTAAAGATTTGTCTGAATTTTCAAAGCCTTTACTGGGCCAATCTAAGTGAAAGGTGATTTTCATGCTAGGAATCAAAATACTTCTTTTCTTCTTAGTTTTATATATAATTTGCATGACTCTAGGACCTCCTAATTAAATATAAAAGTTTTTTCAGTAAACATTATTCTCTCTGCACTAACTTTAACAAAATTGAAAACACAAGGTAAAATTGAAAGATCAAAAATACAAAATAAATCTAAATTACCATTTTTCTTTCTTTCTAGAATGACTGCATATTGTAAGAAACAATTATCATACTTATCTATTCTAAAAGCACAAGTTACTAGTGTTTTTGTTTAGTTTTATTGATTTACAGGTATACTTACTGTCTCAGAATATGCTGAAACCATTTATCATGGTGAGACAGCTTTGTGTAAACAATTTAGTTACAATCATGCCACAAGATGTAATATGCTAGGATATAAAATGTTTTCATTTATTTTATTTTTTTTTTACCTAACCTAACAAGTTTCTAATTTTTACATTTTAGTTAGTTTTATAACAATAAATAAATATACACAAAAAAAACAACAAATGTAGTTTTCATGTCTGGACTCTGACCTTTTGTCATTGATAGGTGAGGCACTCTAAACTTTGTGACATTGTTGGTTATCCACAAAATTAATCATGTTTATTTCAAATATGCATTTTAGAACACAAAAAAATTATCATGCACTAAAATAGAATGTCCTAAAATGACTATAATTTAACTTGAAAGTTGAAAGTAAAACTTGAATGTTCTGTTGGTGATTATTAGGTTAAATGTAATAAATGTCAATTTTGTTTTTGTTTCTAATTTCTGTGTATGTTATTTTGGGAGGGGGGCAGTCTTGGTTGACACCTAGCCCCAGCCAGAGTTTAGTGACCCGGATCCGCTATTCTGCCAAATTTTACTACCCATGCATCCCTAGTTTTGATTACTTGGAATAATCTGAAATTCATTTTGATCCGTTCATTATTTTTTTAATTTTGATTACTCGGTTATACTTGAAGGTAATTGAGTTAATCGCCCAGCTCTACCCATCCCGCATGGTGTCATTTTGCAAAAAAAATAATATATATCAAAATATTAAAGATATACCATTAAATGCATTAATGGATTCATTTTATATGGCTTAGGTCATATTTTTTTATTATATATATTGCTGCAAAAGCTTTTTTATTTTACAAGTAACTAACTTGTAGTGATGATATGTGTTGAAACAAGTTAAAATTAGTAAAATATTCATTATATGAAGTAGAAGACAGTAACAATCTGTTGACTGTAAATTTTTGTAAAGGAAGTGTAGCATTTGATTTTAATACAATATAATGTTCAGGTTTCTTTTTTTCTAAAATGTAAGTTTCAAAAGAAAACATTGTGCTTTATCTTCATTTTAATTTTCTCACACTTATTTTAGTGTGTTGTATTTTTAACACAGTAATAATTAATAAAAACTTAATTAGCTAAAAAATCAAATAGATTTAATTTGAAAAATGAGACAAAAAACTTTCATGGTGTATAAATTGCCTGTACTGAATCTTACTTTTAATTATTAAATTACGATATCTCGATTTTTTTTTTTTCCTTCATTAAAAAAATGTTCTAAAGGTCCATAAAATAGTTTTCACTGCATATACTTATCAGGAAGTGTTTTCAAATCAATTAAGTGTACTGTATTCAATTGGCAAAAAAGTTGTAATTGTGAATAGAGGGTAAATTGCTGCAATTCTTTCTTAAATATGAATAAAATTGGTGGCAGTGTTACTTACACTGATTCATAATAGGATAAAAACATTGTGACTATACATTTTGTGTCCAAATCTACTTTATTGATAAAATAGAAATACCATGGCTACTGGCCTTTCTCCATTATGGGTTTGGAACCAGTATCACACCGACCCTTAAGGCCAGTGATCTTGTTCCATCTTTGACCTTCCAACCATGGCTTTCTTTTTCCAGACACTTCGAAGTCATATGAAAAGCCAGAACCACAAAATGAACGTGGAAAGAATGTTTATGATGGATCCAGTAAGAGCCAAGGCTCTGGCCGGCCGCACGGAGGCCATAGAACACCAGCAGATGTTCGAAATGAGGGACAGGGTCAGGTACCTAAACTTGGTGCTTTTTTGCACTATTTGACAGTGAGCTGTCTTGTGTATGATTCATCTGTTTGCTGTTTACTGCTGGTTGAAGCATATTAGAGGATATGTCATTGGGCTGAATCAGTTTTGTTAGAAACATAATGCCTTTGCTGGCATGGTCTGTTTGACATGTAATTGATAATATTTTCAGTTTTCATTTGATACTTCTACCGTACTTACATGTCACACTGACTAATGATAGTAGGGCTTTCAGCTGCTGGTCTTTTGCTAATAAATATCTCAACTGTCAGCCCATGACTAATATGTTTAATTGATATATAATCCAAAAACTGAAATTATTTCAGCTTTTTACACATTTATATATATATATACATACATATATATCTAGTTTCTGAATACCTACCAAAGCATTTTGTTTATGAAATGAATGCTTTTAAAAAAGTAATGTATGACCAAAGAGTATTTTTACGACACTTTTTATTGGTCATTTTTTATGATTATCATAACCCTTTAAATGTGCTCATTTGGTGTCATCTATTATGTATAAATCATTGTTTGCATAAACACCGACTGAAAGATTGGTTTATAGGCATTTTGCGCAGACATGAAAGCTCTTGTGCAATACTTAAAAAAATTATCTTTTCAGTTTTGTTTTAAAAGCCTAAATCTACAAAGAAATAAGTACGAACTGAAACTGTGCTGTTCAATTTAGAAGAGAAATTAAAAATATCTCTTAAACTTTTTTGCCAGTTATAGGTAATGTGGTTCTATAGATGTGACAAATTTTGAACAGGAATTTATGCTTTAAAAGATTTATTTGTACCCAGATGTTATGTATTTTATTGTGATACATCTTAATGGTAAGTTTATATTATTTAATTAATTTATTAGTATTTAAAAACTTTAAAATTATTAATTTTTGTTGTATTTAACTTTGTTAATCAAGTGGTTTGGTTCAGTTAAATAACATGTTTTGGCCAATTTTTAACAATTTATGTTATTTCATTGTGTTTACTTTTCATTCAAAAATTTGGTTGTATGGTTATTTTTTGTTTTTGAAAAATATGCCCAATATGCAGAAAAAATCAGCTTATTGACAAATGTATTTGTTATTTTGGGTTAATGATATTTCAAAAAAAATGCATATTTATGTATCATGTCAGTTATGCTTCGTTAAGTGTTTTAATTTATTGCCCACTTTCAAAAAATACAAGTCTTGATTATTATAAAGTTGTACTATAAGAGTTTAAAGTTTGTAGTGCACACTGGGAGAGTTGTTTTCATTGTATTCTTTTGTATAATGCTAAATCAGTCAGCACAGGTCTTGTTTGTCCCGATGAAGCCGTAATGGGGAAATGTTAGTTTAAATAAAACCAGTTATGTTTTGTGGACTTATAAGTCATGTTTTATTTATTTTTTTAACATAGTTTTACTATCTTTGTTTGTTCAAGGGAATTTGTTAAGTACTCATCTAATTTACTGTCTTAACCTTTCAAGAAGGGAAAAGACATGATATAGTATTTTATGATGTATATAAAAAAATGTATTAGTATCCTTTTGTGTGTTAAATTTAGAAGTGAGTTAATTTTTTGTTATAAGGACTGTTGTTAAATAGGATCAATTAATTTATTATAAGCTTCATCTTTATTAAATGTTAAAATACCAATACTTGTTATTTCTAATCAGTAAAAATGAAATAACTATTCACACTAAAGGAATTGTTTAGAAACTAGGAAACACATGAATTTCTTATTTATCACTACTTCAATAATGTAAAAAAATGTTTTCAAAAATTCCAAAATGGGCTTTTTACTTTTTTGAAATGAAAAAAAACCCAAAAAAAACAGGAACATTACAATATATTTTATAGACTGAAAACTACTGTTAAGTATATGTATTTTAAATTTATAGTAAATGACTGAACCACATCTTGGATCAAAAGTTTTTAATATTTGTTAATAGGAAAGTACAAATATAAAACAGCATCAAGAAGAATTTTATCAGTTTTGAATTTATTTGTTAACCAGTGAGATTTTTTTCATTAATTATTAAATACTCGTTATCATAGTATTTTGATCCTAAGAAATTTTGTCATACATTTTATGGTTTACTAGAATAGCCACTTGTTTCTCAGTAGATGGAGGTGTCTTAAAAAAGTTAAGACTTAACTATCATGGTAGGAAGCTACAAGTCCTTTCTATTTTTTATATTTCTTCTACCTTTTAATGCCACAAAGAAATGTTGTGATTGTAAAAAGGTTCAAGTTTATAAAGATTGTACTAGAGTTAACTGACTAATTTATAGAAATTTGTAATGGCCTATAAATTAATATCATATGTAATATTTTAATGAGCGTTTTAGATAATTTTTAAAATTACATGTTAATAATGTTGTTTTCTCACCATTGAAAAGAATTGAGATTAAGTGGTTTTATCACCAAAATGAGGATAAATAGTTTTGTGGCTTGTATATTTAAATGGGTGTTACCTTTTCTTATGAGATTAAATATATTTTCATAATTTGATGTTAGGTACCAAGGTACCCAAGGAGGGAGGAAAAGTGGATTTTATTGTACTGTGTGTGAGTGTGAATTCGGTGGTAGTTTCCTGACCCACCGCCGTACTAAGGAACACAAGGTATGTTCATCAGAATTTTTTCTGCAGGTTGAGAGATTAAATTTTTTTTGCAAAATCGGAAGAATTTTGTGGTGAGACTTCTTAAAAGTAATATATGAGAAATTACATAATTATTTCATGAAAATAATCAGTTGTAACAGTTTAAAAATCTGTGTACTGTAAACACATTAACTCCACTCAAAAACTTCAACAGTAATGATTTATAAACTTGCTAATTGTATTAACAAATTCTTTGCTTTATGTTAACAGGTTTTGGAAAAAAAAATAACAAATCAACAGCCTTTAAAACATTTTCTTATTTCACATAATCAATTTTTATAAAGTTGATGAATTCACAGGACCAGTCATTTTTGCTACCATTTATTATGGGCAAAATATTTTAAAGAATATTCAAGCTACTGTTTCATTCCTAACAGTGCACTATCTTAAGTATAGGTATAATATTGATTTATTGCCAGTTTAAAAATTCGGATTTTTTGTCTACAAATGACTTAATGATTACTGAGAGCTTGCAAAATTTTGTGAAGATACATATTAGAAGTTATAGTATGGAAACTATAAAGGTCAATTTTTAGGTTGAATCGACTGAGCTTGTAGCGACAGGGTTTAATAGTGTCAGAATGGACTCCAGTTTAATATGCCATGATGAAAATTGTAAGAGGACTTAACACCTATCTTGTATGATATCATTACTAATTTGTCATTTTTTGGTAGATTTTTGGTTTGTTGAAAGCTGTTGTTAATACAAACAATTTTATAAATAGTTTGTGGTAAATTATATAATGCCTTCGAAATATAATTTTTACATATTTTGGACTTTCAGAAAGCACGTGATAAAAAGTTCCCAAGATGTGGACTTTGTTTCAAGACATTCAATGATCCTGTGGATTATAAAAAGCATGAGAAAACTGAAGAACATAAGAAGGTAAAGATTTTTAAATCAATATGTTTTATCTAACATTACTCTTAAACTACTGACCTGTTTTATATACTATTCACTATTAGTAAGGTCCACATGTTGCAAAATGTTGAGTTCATTAGACCCTTGTCAATAATTATAGGATTAAAAAAGATTCATTTTGGTTTAGAATTTGTGATTTGTTCTCTTTTTTTTTTATAGTGTGAAAGTAGTTTATATGTTATTTCTTAGTTATGCAGTGGATTTATAATATTTCATGACTTGAATAGTATAATATGGGAAATTTTGTATAAAGAAGAATGTTAAAGAATCGTTAAGAAAATTATTTTTCTTTTGAACTAATTTATACTTGTCTGGCAACTTTCAGAGATTAGTACAGTATGCCATTAAGAAAGAACTGTTTGGCTCAGATGATGATGTTTTTATAAGCATTGATGCTTCAAGATTTTTTGAAGATGAAAAGGAAAAGGAGAATGAAAAACAGCAAGAAATCGAAAAAGACAAAAGTAAAGAAAATGCAGATGGAAAAGAAGAAGAAAAAGAGGTCAGAAATTTGTAGACTAAATCTAAAATATGTGTGTATTGTAACATATAATTTTTATTATTTAGAATAAAAAGATCATCATGAAACTAAACTCATGGTTTGATAAAAATATTCCTATCCACTGGGTGCTGTAGTTAGTTTCTCTTTCTGATCAATATCTTTTGTTTTAGTGCATTTTGAAAACAAAGAATTTATGCATTTATTTAGTGGATTGATTTTTACCATGTTTTAAGGGTTATAACAAGTACATAAAATTTTTGTCAGATTAGTTTTATGTTAAGCCATTCTTCAAAATCTATTTTTACCTACAGAAATGGCTAGTGAGCCTCAATATTTGATAGACTTGTTGTTTTGAATATTAACTTAAAACTGTTTCGAACTTGCTGTTATCAAAACCTAAAGGGTTTAGAAAAGGCAGATTGCTTTCCAGTTGTCTAAGAAATTCCAATTGCTAAATTAAGCTTATGTTTGCAATGTATTGGTTGTACTTTGAAGTAATCAGTAAGGATAACAGATTTGTTTGAAAGAGCACTTCTTTCATTTGATTTGGTATAAAGCAACTCATTGTACATTACACTATTACATCTAGTGTCACTACATGAAGCTGACAGTAAAACTGATGTAGAAGTAGTTTGATGTATGATTTATTTGCTGCATTTTAATATTGGTAATTGAAAACATTCACTTGTGAGAGGGGACATTTCTTAATTTTTGTATTATGTGAAACAATTATTAAAGCTTAATGCTATTACACAGAATAGGAAAGAACTAGCAATAATAGAGAATATATACATATATATGGTGTTATAAAGATATTTTAATCAAAAACAAGTTATGACTTTTGTGTTCATGTAGGCAAGTGAAGCAAAAGATGACAATGCAGAAGCAGAGAAAAGTGAAGAAAATCCCGAGAATGAAGAAGTAAGTTGAATTTGAATAAGTTTGGTAGCTACTTGTTGAGTTCTTTCCTTTTTTTCTTCTGTATAATACCCATTTCATCCTTCTTGAAAATGAATGAATTCAACTAAAACAACTTAATTTTTTTTCGTTTTTGTGGCATAAAACTGCTAACATGTAATGATACATCTAGTTATTCTATAGCATGTTAAGAGAAAACCCATTAAGGCTTCACTTTTTTGAGCACTACATTTGAACTTGAATAAATTTTAGATAAATGTTTATTTAGAAAGTTTGACCAATAAAAAATATACCCTTTAAATACTGAATGGCTCACTTCTTCACTCTTAGAAATTGTATAATTATGCATGCAGTTTTCTTTTCTATGTGAAATTATATTCAAACTAAGTGTTAGAGTTTAATTTACTAAAAATTAGTATGTATATGTTTTGGTTGCAGTACCAACTACTGTAATGTTATTTTTATTAGTTATTCTGTCTGTGATAAATTTTTACCTCTGTTGGACAGTTACATAAGAAATCCATAAACTACATTATGCAATGAATCCTTCCTAAAATTGTGGGTGAAACCTTGGATCACCCAGAGATGATACAATAGAGGAAAAGAGGCACAAATTTTAATATCAGTTGGATGAGCATTACATAGTGTTTGGCGTACTGGACTGTTAATCTGTGTGTCCATTGTGGAGTATTGTTGGGGACCATCAGCTTAACAAAAAAGGTTAATAGTAAAAAAGTAAATTGAAAAAACAAAAACTATAAAAAGTAATTCAAATTTTTAAATAAATCTTTTATACTTAAAAAAAAGCTGTATTGCTTCACACAATTATAACAAAAATTACTTAGGATCAGACAGAATGAAGTTTTCTAAACAGATGTAAGTAGAGTTTGAAGATATAATCTAATTCCAGTGTAGTGGCAGGAAGAAATTCAGCATTTATAAAAAATTATATTTAAGTGTATTTAGTTTTATAGCCAATAGTTATTCATTAGGACCCAGAATATTTTTACATACTTTTCTTGACTCCATATTACAATTCATAAAAATTGAGAAGACAAGAAAAACCTGAAAAATCTAAATTAAGGTTTTGTCATTGATTACATGAGTTAGGCTTAGAGCATACTTATTAAATTAGATTATTGGACTTGTATATTAGAAATAATACTTTTTTTCATGTTAGGTACCAACCATTTTGTTCTATGATGGATTTATGGCACCTGAAAGTAGCAGTAAATAAAAGTTAATACATACAAAACTTTATACTTTTGAATAAACAATTAATTCCTGAAACATTAAACACCAAGCATGTATTTTATTTGCAAACTTCCTTTGGTTCTATTATGTATGTAATAAAAAGTAAAAAGAGTCAAAATATAAAGTAAGAAAGTAAGTACAAAGTAATAAAGCTACTAGAAGAGGCATGAAGGAGCTAAATATTGTACTGTAGTAAAATGTTTTGAACGGATAGCAAGTTTAATTTTACTGATTATATTTGACAATTTATTTTCCAGGAAAAAACTGAAGAAAAAGAAGTTGAACCAGTTGGTATGATATGTTTTAAAATTTTACTTTCTATCTAATACAGAAATATTTTATGCAGGTGTTATAAATTGAATTTCTCTGGTTTTAACCCTATAACTACTAGCAGCATTTTTAAATTCCTTTCTGTATATGGTACTGTGTTACATTTAAAATTTAATTAAACCACTTTACTATCAATATATGTCAATGAAATTTACATTATAATGTATGTTATGATTTGAATTTATCCATTATCTAAGTTTTAATTCCTTTATTTCAAAGGAAATGTTAAAACAAATACTTAAACTGCAATTTTCATGTCACATAATCCATGCACCATTAAACATCTCATGTTTAGAAGTGGTTCAGTCTCACCCACATATAAGGTGGCAATGTACACGAGTATCTAGATGCTAATGTACATGTGTTTGAACTATTGATACATAAGATACAATGTCTGCAGCTGCAATCACTGGGAAACAAGTATATATTTTTCAACTCTTGATTGGTGTTACATCCACTCTCTGTATTTTGCCTTGAGATCTACAATGTACATGTAATTAGTTGACACAAGTGTATATAGTTGTTAGAAAGAGCTCAGTTTACATTACTCTACCAATGGTTAATTTGAAATTGGCATGTAGTTTTCCTCATGATGTACATGTAACTGCTGTTAGTATTGTTGTCTGCTTGATTGACTATAGCAGTTACAGTGGTTTCTTACCTAAATTTGCTATAGTTAGAGTGACAGTTAAATTGTATTTAGGTCATACTTTTATATTTAGTTAATTATGTATTATGGGTGTTTTAAATATCATAAATCATATTGGAATGGTTTATTGATTTTTATAAGTTTAACTTGTTGCCTGGATTGTGAAAGCTTATAAACAAGTTGGCATGTATAAGCACTATCTTGTTTAAGCAATGTGTCTTTGTGGGGAATCTTCTAAAATTATTTCATAAATCCCTGTGGGCATCAGTTGACATATTGGTATAAACAATAAAAGAAAGAATTTGAAAGAAAATTACAAATAAACGTGAAAAGACAAAGATGTGAAATTATACATATAAGAAAAAACTATTTTAGTGAATTTCTATGAAGGGTTAATAAAAGGTGGTATATACATACTTCAGTTTGTTAATTATAAACATTTCATTGCACTGTATATTGATGATAATAGATAGTTCGTGATATAATAGAGAAAATGGTAAATAAAATATAAACGTTTACCCTAAGTTAAAAAAAACAACTTTTGATATTCACTTATGAGGTTCTAGGGATTATGTAAATGATAAGTGAAAACTGTAACATTAAAAATAGTACTTTTATACTTCATATAAAAATTACCTTGCAGGTGAACTATTCAGAGTCCGAGTGGCAAATAACTACATTAAATAATGAATATCTCACAAGAAATAGTAGAAAAAATAAAAAATTTAATATATTTCTGAAACTACGTACATTTAGGAACATTCTTGTCAAATTTTAAACAATTAAATCCACTAGTTATATTTTTGTAATGAAATATGACAAGAAGAACTTACCTTCTCTCTGATAGAGAAGCCGGAGGTGAAAGGGTTAAACAGTTTAATTATGGAGATGATCCAGTACTCAGTGAATATAGCTTGTATGGAGAATGATACACAGTTCAACAATATTTATGATAACTCAAAACTTTCTTAACGTATATTTATAGAAATTGGTAAGATCTTGTTAAAGATTACAAATATTTTATATACCAAGAATGAGATTATTTTCATCAAGTATTTCCAATAGAATTTATTCATTGTGATAATTTGCACCCAGTCTCTGAATTGATCAAATGCAAGGTAATTTTCATGTTAAGTATAAAAATACTTTTTTTCCATCTTGGAACCTTCTAAATGAATAGCATAAGTTTTTTTAAGGTAAATGTTTTTATTTTATTTTTTGTACCATTTCTCTAGCTGGCTGTTATTATCAACATATAATGCAATGAGATGCTTAAAATTAAAATATGTACATACCCTTTAATTTTCATCAAATAATCTTGAAAAATCATCTTTTGATTATATTCTTAATTACATGTCTTTACATTTACAATAATTTATTTTTAATGTTTTATTTTCTTACCTGCCCATAAGTGTTATTTTTTATAATGACACATGTCCATGGGCATCCCCGGTCAATGTTAAAGTATCGTGGGTTGAGAAACTTTAGCTATTGGCAAAATGATGCACTTGCTAATCCTTGTGAACTGAGGAGAAGATAGTTTATATTTAGAAAATTATTAATCTTTTCAAATATGTTTCTTAAAACATAAATAACACATAATTAACTAAAATATAAAACTAAATACAATTCAACTGTCTAATTAACTAACATGTTTCTAGGTGAAGAAATAATGCTAAGAACGGTTTGACTAGTTCTGTAGGGAATTGTTCAGGCCAATTTTAAAATAACTGTTGGGAAATAGTACTTTGAAATGTAATTTTCTATTGGTTATAAACATCTAGCTCAAATAAGTATTACTGGTTGAGAAATGAGACTGTGTGTAGAAAGTGGGTGTGGCTTTTGTCAATAGGTCCAAGAACTTTATTTCTCCTTTATCCTAACGTGCCCTAAAGAGCTTGAAAGAAGACTGTATAAACAGAGAATTAACCTAGTATCTGTCTATATATAGAAATGTAATGTACCTGTAGAAGTATTCATAATACAGAAACAAAATGTTTAGGCTTTGTAAGCTTGTGCATCACATGACAAGATAACTAAAGTTTAAGAATTTTTCTTTAAGGTTTCATTGAAATAAAGGAGTTAAAATTTAGATAATATAAACTTTCAACTACAATATAATTTTAATTCTATTGTCATTGGCTTACATTGATTGAAAATTGTTTTACTAAACTTTGAATATCACTATGTAAAACCTTGTGACGTGCAGAAAAAGATGCCTGTCTCCATAGGGTTAAGACAACTGTCATAATGTACATTTTAGAAATTATTAATATGCTAGAAAAACAGGCATTTGCATAAAAACTTTTTATTGTTTGGAACTTGAGAAAATTGAAGTAGAAAAATTACACAAATTTGTTATTTCGAAAATGATGAAAAATTTTCAGTTTTAAACAATTATCTCTAAAGCAAAATGTATCTTTAGATTATAATTTTTAGAAACTAAATTGTGCAATAGCATTATAACATTTTTTGCCACTAGTTTATGAGAATAAGTAAACATTCTACTCAAAACTGTTGTTTCAGAATTTGTGTACTTTATATAACTTGGACTTAAAAAACTAAAAAAGAACATGTTTAATTTTCATGTTTTTTATTATCAATATAAAAATGTGGTTGGTCTTTTAATTTGGCTTAGAAATTTGTGTATACATTTTAAATTACTTTGCATGTATATTTTCAAACTATAAATTACAAAAACACAGAACATTACATATTTTTAAATATGTAACTGTTTTGCATGCTTTATATGTATTTTAAATGTCACTTCTTTCATTGTTAGTAACATAATAATCTAACTTAACATTTAAGTTTAGAATACCTATTACAATAGCAATGTTTTTCAGGTCAGACATATGTTGTAGAGATACATGGATATTTCTGTAAAGTTTGTCATAAATTTTACAAAGATGAAAATGTTGCCAAAGTTAGTCATTGCAGGAGTAAAATGCATCATGAAAGGCATGAGGTAAGCTTTGAACTTAAGTATTTTGTGACTTCACTATTTTAGTCAATTTACATATAATAGTTTCCAGTGACTAACTGATATCTTTGGTTATTAATACCTGACACTTTTAAGATGGCTATTTTCCAAGTTGTTAACATAAAAAAAGCAAAATATTAAACTGTATTCCAGTAATAGTTCCCATCTTAACATTGAGTTGAAATAGGTAGAAAATCATTGTAGTATGTTTTTTCTAATGCATAAATGTGAAAGTTGATTGATAAAAACCTGAACTAAGGACATGGATTACATCACAAAAGGGCAGCCAGAAATACTGCATCATTAAACTTTATAAGTAAAGATATTATTTAATAACATTTCTGACACTTCTAATGTGAAATTGTAACAAGTTCTTTGACAATCATGAAATGAGGAAGCTCAAGTGTTGGTGTTGTAATTGCTTAACATTCATAAAAATAGCCTATGTCTTTCATTGGTTGTGTAAGTAGAACTTAAGTTTTGAGATTATAATTCACCTTTGCATACAGAAATGCTATTTCTCTCGTGTGTCTTCCTGTGAATTTGCATATCACTAACCATTAGCTAACTGCCACCTTAATTCATGTGTTTAACTTGATGTGCTCTTCCATGATGACAACATCCTGCAGAAATATGAGAAGGACAACACAACCTCCATACACAATAACTCCCCATATGCACTTGCACTCATACTTATTTCGTTTCCTCAGCATTACATTGAAAAGACGTGTTCAGATTCCTCATCTAATTTCAAGTTAATGAGATTTGTGTTTGTTAATGAAACATCTTTTTTTACAATGGCCTTTGATTCAAAAGCACTGATTATTTTGAATTCTCAAATGATGATGGCATCTACTCAGTCCTGTGTGAGTGAGAATGTTACACACACACACACACCCTTTTTCTATCATGGCTTCTGGGGGCTCGTGTACTGTTGGGGACATTGCAGCCTTTGTTCAACATGTTGTGGATTACCACATGCTTACTAGGCCTACTATTCCTGTCCCTTTAGCTGACTTTCTTTTTTTCTCAGTTTGGAATAACCTATTGAACTATGAGTTTAACTTGATATGCTTTTGGTAGTGCCTTACCATTTGAGGAATGACCTTAACCTTACAATTTCTTTATGGATTTCCTTCTCAGGTATGTTACTTTCCTTATCTTTCACCTATGTCCTTTCATATTGCCTGTTCTTCACCCCATGGACCCATTTTTGGGGATCACATTGTCTCTTCTACTTGCTTGTTATTAGAGTTTATGCTGTTTTCTTTCTCTAAAAACTTCTCATTCTCACCCAAATGTCTTATCCCCTCACATCTGTGACTCTTTTGTTTTGACTTGCAGACTTTTTCCTTTCCTTTCTAGATTCCCTGTCTTTGGTATCTATTTTACACACTTAGAGATTGGGCTCTGTACCTTATATTTTGTTCTCTAGTTCCCCATTTTTGTGTCTTCATCTTTTTCTCACTATCTTCTTTTGCCTCCACCTTTTATATAGGGCACCTTATTGGGCTCCAGAGGGGTTTTCTCTTAGTTGCCAGTTTAGCCTGTTCCACTTCTTCTTCTCTGCTCCTCCTTATTTAGTCCCCCCTCCCCTTCAATTGGGTCAGAACACCCAGACATCTTCAGTGGTGTTCTTTTCATACTGGAAACCTGTACTGAATTTGCACGATTTCAATTCTTATCTTCCTAGGTTTTTCTTTTTTCTCAACCTTGCCCTTTGACTTCTGTTTCTCATCTGGATCAGTCTACCCCCTACACTTCCCATTCCAGGCCTTCCCCTTTTTTTCATCCACCCACTACCCAAATCACTCTTTTTGTCATTGACTATCCTGCCATATTAGGCCCTGTGGGTATTCATTTCTTCCTCTTCACAAGCATTTGGTCTCAGTTTTTGCTGACAGAATTTTTTTTCATTTTCTCTACTTCATTCCTTTTTTCCTCCCTCAGACCATGCCTGTTGTCTTTTTTCACCTGGTCTGTGATTGGCACATCCCTTTTTTTGCCCATCTTCCAGATTTTTTCTGTTTCATTCATCAGATTCACATTTTCCAATTCCTCATCTTCCCTTCTGCAGACTTTTATCCCCTTTTGTATTCATTTGTGTCACGAGGGCCTTTGCTTGCCATCTTTATGGCCTGGGACTGTCATTCTTTTTCTTGGGTGAGTGAATTTTATTGGCCCTCTTCTCATACCTTCCTTCTTTTGATGGAGGCTACTTGGTAAAATATGGGTGTTTTCTTCATCTCGTGTCTCCTCCAAGCTCAGTATTTTCCTTCACCTTGAGCTGTGAAGTACATGTTCACCAGGATTTGCACTTCTTATTCACATTCTGTGTGAGGGATTTCTTTGCTTTTGAGGAATTTGGCTTCCCTGAAACCTCCCTATTCCTTTAAGGTGTGCACTGATATTTCTCCTCCAGTGGATCTTGTGGATCCAAAAAATTCTTTTTCAAGTTCCATTGTTCTCTATTGGGAACCTCTCTTCTCCTCTTCTTGAGGAATTCTCATTATGGCTAGTCCATGCCAATACTACTTCCGGCATTCTCTTACCAACTCCCAAACTGGATCTATCTACCTCTCTGATTGAGGGGCATCTCTGAACAATGACGTAATTTCTGGCATTTGGATGTAGGACAAGCATTCTTTTCACATCAGTGTGCTCAAAATTCTTGCTGCTCTTTGAACATGTTCTCATTTCCTGCCCTTCTTAGTGGATCAATCAGTCACAATCCACTGTGACATTTCCATGATCATTTCTTACATCAACTATCAAGGGGACACCTGTTCCAGGACCCTGTACCTTTTGATGTTGGACCTACTCTTCTGGGCTCATCTGCATTCAGTTTGTTTAGTTGCCTGTCATGTGCCTAGAGATACGTACCTTGTGATTGACTGCATCTCTTGGTCTGACTGTGTTCTAACCACAGAGTGGTCTCTCCATTTCCAAGTCTTTTATTGGGTTTGCTCTTGGTTTGGCATGCCCCTCATACATGCCTTTGCCATCCCTCTCAACTCCAGTCTTCCTCTCTTCTGGTCCCCAATTCCTCATCCTTTGGCTTTTGCTGTCAATACTTTCAGGCAGGACTGGTTTCACCTATTTCTAAATATATATATCCACCCATCCTCCTCTTTCACTTAATGAGTGATGCTCCTTCTCAAGTTCTATAGTGGTACCTCTTTGGCAGTCTCAGCTTTGGTTTCTTCTGCTTTTTGCTTGGCATCCAGACCCACTTTTGAATATCCAATGCCCCCTTCTTGTTTCACCCTCACACATCCCTTTTTTTATTAAGGGGTGTCATCTTTCCACCTTCATGTATGGGATTTGTCCAGTTCATTGCTTGATGGGCTGGACTATTCTGTTGTATAGCCTTCTTGTCACATTCCTATTGCCCTTCCACTTTGTCTGTTGATGTAAGTGGAGGTCTTTCATCTTTGATCCATCTGCCATTCTCTTCCTCCCTACTGTGAAACACCATTCTGCCTTTTTTAATTGGCTGTTTGACTATGATTTGTTGGTCTCTACCTTTGCCAGTTATCAAGCAGTGTTATCCACTACATTTTGCTTTTCCCAGTACCTCAGGATATTTTCTTTTCCTGTTCTTTCCATTTTCTTCTGCTCCTTCCTTCACAGACTCCCACGCCTGAAATTAACTCTTTCAGTACAGGCTCAGTCCCTGGGTCTGACCTTGTAATCATTTTATGCTATAACTTTTAACTTAGTAAGCGATTGTTAATGAAATTTGGTACACATATCAGTAAACACTACAGTACTTTCATACACAAAATATCATTTTTTTTATATTAAGTCTTAAGATTTATAAAGCAATGTTTTTCCCATGCCTTTTTCTTTTTGCATGTTGCCTATTTAACATGCAAAGTAATTTTCATTTTAAGATTAAAAATATTTTTATGCATCAGAAAATTTTAAAATTTGACATGCGAAATCTTTATAATTTCCAGATAATTATTAAACGTTTCTTAAGAAAATTTTTTTTTATTTTATCTGTTGTTTTCAGTAATGAATCTCTGTACGAGTTCGGTAGATTTGACCGATCTCGCAACCACCATAAAAAATTAGGAAATAATATGCCTCTTTCATTCTAGAATGAACAAAAATTATAACATTATAAATGTTTAGACTAAATAGCTTAAA